AAACGCTGTTTTTCACTTATACGGAGAAGAATATCTGCACTTTTACACAGCAGGCGTAATTCGAATTTGACTGGTTTTTCAATTTCAACGAAAACTGTAAATACGGTTTCTTGTCACTGGATTTGTGTGTTCATCACTTGATTGTCTCGATTGTCGACCGGCAGCCGCCACATTCCAGGCAAGAGTCATCAATTGATGTCATCACTGATTATCAGTGATTCATATGCTTTTCAGAGCTTTTTCAATTTACACCCCGTGGAATATGTTTCAGATGATAATCGACTTTCAATGCCTGCTGTCCTTGCCCGCTTGGGGACACTATAATGCTGTAATAAGTTTAAGTAGACACAGTGAATGCTTTGGTTATTATGTTATTAAAGGCATTTTTACAAATCAAATCGACATTTGATTCAACCCACATTGCTTTACACTTTAACAAGCGTAAATGGTACGGCTCCCATTGCCGAAACTATGAATGTACCATGCCTTTATGAAAGTGGTCAAATGCAACATATGTTATATATTTGAGATTACACTTTATCAGAGAGCTACACAAAGTACGTGATCTGAACTACGAGTTGTCAGTCTTCCACTTTCTGTATGAGAAGTGGCAGCTGAGTGGGTTAGATTGCTGGCTATGTGTGCTGGCGGTTAGCGTGGGTTCGAATCCAGGATTGGACTCAACCAAAACCAACGTACCATAATCTATACTTTAATGAGAAAGTTTTATTATGCATACAAGCATGTCCCACTTCCTTGGTATTAGGTGTATGATGTACTCGTTGAAACCGTTCAAACTTTTATTGTTCAAGTTTTGTTCTGCATTTTCTTCAGCAAAATGTGTTACTTTTTTGCCCCTACGAAACTAACAAATTATAATGCAATATTGGTCGGTAGCAGTACTATCAAATCTGAAGCATCAGAGTGTCCTTGAGTTGTTTGTGTGTTGAATAGCGCAGACATATTCAAGCTACAACACGGCGACCCGTTCATATACCTATATGTATCTAAACGATTGATGTTAGCTTTGCCGTATAACGTTCAAGGAGCAGATAATCTAGTGATCAACGATTGATATTACGTGTAAAGTTCAAGGACCAGGTAATCGAGTGATCAACGATTGATATTACGTGTAATATTCAAGGACCAGATAATCAAGTGATAAACAATTGATATTGCGTGTAAAGTTCAAGGACCAGATAATCGAGTGATCAACGATTGATGTTACGTGTAAAGTTCAAGGACCAGGTAATCGAGTGATCAACGATTGATGTTACGTGTAGTATATTCAAGGATCATATAATCGAGGGATAAACACTTGATTTTACATGTAACGTTCAAGGACTATATAATCGAGTGATAAACAATTGATGTTACGTGTAAAGTTCAAGGATCAGGTAATCGAGTGATAAACGATTGATATTACGTGTAATATTCATGGACCAGATAATCGAGTGATAAACAATTGATATTACGTGTAAAGTTCAAGGACCATATAATCGAGTGATAAACAATTGATATTACGTGTAATATATTCAAGGACCAGATAATCGAGTGATAAACAATTGATATTACGTGTAATATATTCAAGGACCAGATAATCGAGTGATAAACAATTGATATTACCTGTAAAGTTCAAGGACCATATAATCCAGTGATAAACGATTGATGTAACGTGTAATATATTCAAGGACCATATAATCGAGGGATAAGCAATTGATATTACGTGTTACATTCAATGACCAGATAATCGAGTGATAAACAATTGATATTACCTGTAACGTTCAAGGACCATATAATCCAGTGATAAACGATTGATATTACGTGTAGCGTTCAAGGGCCAGATAATTGAGTGATAAACAATTGATGTTACGTGTAATATATTCAAGGACCATGTAATCGAGTGATAAACAATTGATATTACCTGTAACGTTCAAGGACCAGATAATCGAGTGATAAACAATTGATATTACGTGTAACGTTCAAGGACCATATAATCGAGTGATAAACGATTGATGTTACGTGTAACGTTCAAGGGCCAGATAATCGAGTGATAAACAATTGATATTACCTGTAAAGTTCAAGGGCCAGATAATCGAGTGATAAACAATTGATATTACCTGTAACGTTCAAGGACCAGATAATCGAGTGATAAACAATTGATATTACGTGTAACGTTAAAGTTTGGACCATATAATCGGCGGTGATGGGCTTCACAATTGATATTACCTCTTAACGTTCAAGGACCAGATAATCGAGTGATAAACGCCCCGATATTATGTGGAACGTTCAAGGACCAGATAATCGAGTGATAAACGATTGATGTTACGTGTAACGTTCAAGGACCAGATAATCGAGTGATAAACAATTGATGTTACGTGTAACGAAGGACCAGATAATCGAGTGATAAACAATTGATGTTACGTGTAACGTTCAAGGGCCAGATAATCGAGTGATAAACAATTGATATTACGTGTAACGAAGGACCAGATAATCGAGTGATAAACGATTGATGTTACGTGTAACGTTCAAGGGCCAGATAATCGAGTGATAAACGATTGATATTACGTGTAACGAAGGACCAGATAATCGAGTGATAAACGATTGATGTTACGTGTAACGTTCAAGGACCAGATAATCTAGTGAGAGACAGTTTCCTCCTCCGTTCATGGGTATTTCATTCAATGGTTTACTCTATTAGTTCCTCACGCGAAACAATGCAATTAATCCTCTTACGTCTGCTAGTCGAAATGATATAATCGAACCCGGGCCTTCGGCGTGACGAGCGAACGCTTTAACCACTTGGCTACCCCACCTGTCCCCAAAACATGATATATATACAAGTAGCAAGGAAGGTACCTTTGATTTCGTGTTGTATAAATTGCCTTATTAACCCACAGCACCTCTATGTTATCGGCCGTTCACATCAGCAGGGGCGGTGGGTAGCCTAGTGGTTAAAGCGTTGGCTCGTCACCCCGAAGACCCGGGTTCGAATCCCCACATGGGTACAATGTGTGAAGCCCATTTCTGATGTCCCCCGCCGTGATGTTGCTAAAAGCGGCGTAAAACGAAAACTCAGTCAGTCAGTCACATCAGCAATATATTTAAATGAGGTCATGAGTCAGTGATACCACATCATATGTGAGATTGATATAGATATTGTCTATTTCATGTGATAGAAACGTATAATGAGACGCATATTACTGATGAAGTCTGAAATGGAAAGTCTGAAAGTGATTTCGCTCGTTTAGGATTTTTACTTTCGGGGATATTTTAGGAATGTTGTTACTGAGCTGAAACGGTTGGTTACTCAATATCCGCGATGGGTTTTCAAAGCGTACCTTAAGTTTTCCGCTAGCGATCTTATGTATCTTATGTCAATAAGTAAGTAAAAATCTGTCATCAACAACAATAATAATAATAAAAATAATAATAATAATACAAAGAACGACGTATGCAGTTTTATTAACAATTAGGCATAGTATCTTGACAGGAGTGAAAGATGGATACATAGTAAAAGAAAGCATTGTTTTGTCCATTCCATGATAGCTATATTCATGTCAAGGTGGACCCGTGAAGGTGCGGGTCAGCAAGCCATGCTAGTCGTAAGAGGCGACTAACGGGATCGGTTGGTCAGGCTCGCTGGCTTGGTTGACACATGTCATCGGTTCCCATTTGCACAGATCGATGCTCATGCTGTTGATCCCTGGATTGTCTGGTCCAGACTCAATTATTTACAGACCGCCGCCATATAGCTGGAATATTGCTGAGTGCGGTGTGAAACTAAACTCACTCACTCATGTCAAAGTGACACCATGGACCAAAGTACGAAAATTCCCGTAACTCCCGTAAAATAACAAAATAATAACATAAACCGTGAAAGTGTGTATTCGGATTTTGTTCATCATTTCTATATATTTGAACTTTGCTCGAAAGATATTTGATCAAGGTAATAACAACAGCCTCGGCAATCCTTTCAAATGCAGTGAGTATGATTAAACGCTGATTTAACGCCGCTTTCAGCAATATTCCAGCAATATCGCGGCAGGGGACACAAGAAATCGGCTTCACACATTGTACCCATGTGGGGAATCGAACCCTGGTCTTCGTCGTGACCAGCGAACGCTTTAACCACTAGGGTACCCCACCTCCCCTTAGTAGAAATGTAAAGGCTATATCGAAATGTTACGTATCAGTGACAAAAAGTATGCCAATTCTCTTTTTGACTTCATCATATGTTTCGTGATTTGCTGAGGTGAGTATCTGATATATCGTTCTTGGCTCTGTATGTGTTAGTAATGGGTGCCACTGTTTGGGCAAGATACGATAACCTGTGCAGGAACACCTTTAACTATTACTACTCCATAGTGATTCATAGACAAATGATTACGGTACAGTTGCAATCGTCCAAGCTGCTATTAGCAATATTTCTTATGATGTTTTTAAAGGTTTTAAATAAATTTCAAATTCAATATACCATAATCACCATATGCATGTATGAGAAAAGTATACATGATGTTACATCTTATTATGCTAAGTATGTGCGGAGGTATCTGATAGGTTACTTGAGGGGAGAGAATGATGCAAACACAGACCCTTTAAAAAGAAACGTGCTAAGAAAATTCATGTGATCATTAAATATGATAACAGCGAGTGAGTGAGTTTAGTTTTACGCCACACCCAGCAATATTCCAACTATATGGCGCCGTCTGTAAATAATCGAGTCTAGAACAGAACATCAAGTGATCAACAGCATGAACATTCATCTACGCATTTGGGATACGATGACATCTGTCAACCAAGCCATCGAGCCTGACAACGCGATAGTCGTCTCTTACGACAAGCATGGGTTACTGAAGATCAATTCTAACTCGGACCTTCCCGGTTTTTGCATGATAACAAATGAATCACACGAAAGCCACTTGTAAGTTCCATACCAATATTCTGCATTTAGTTCATGACACAAACAAGTCAACACAATCAAAACAAGGTTCAGATATAACGGTTTCAGTTATTGTATTGATAAAATACCAGAGGATCGTGAAACAACAGAATAGGATTCATAAAGTGTTCTCATGTGCAACACTGAGCGCTAGTGTTTCGCGTGACGAGCGATTGTGTTAACCACTAAATTAAACATCACTTATGCCAATGGGGTCATGGCTTAATGCACTGAGCGTAAAACATGCAAAAACATATTGATATGCAATATTTATGAGATTCTCTAAAATAATCACATTTATCATAAAAACGTTCCCTATTCAGCCTGTTTAAAATAAATTTTATGTCAGTTTTAGTCAGTTCTCAGACAGTTTTGGGATTACCACACAGTTTATGATTTCACGACGTTGAATTCCGACAATGGGGTGACGGTAGGACCGTCTTCATCACAGATCTTTGATGGAGGCTCTCCATTAGAAGCTTTGGTAAGGGTGATAGCAGGTACTCCAGGGTGAGGGTCCTGTGGACCAGCTTTACAGCAGAGGCTTCCTTTGACTTTAAGCTGGAGTCTTTTACAGCAGGAACAACACAGCACCTTCATGAACTCTTGCCGAAAGTTTTCATTTAGCCAACCATAGAGCACGGGGTTGAGGCACCCAGCACACAGTACGAACAAGTGACAAATCGCATAGGTCAAGTTGATGTCAATGACGTCTCCGTGGAACATGTCATGGTTGAACTCACTCAACAGGTTGAAGATGTTTAGCGGCAACCAACTAAGAGCAAAGACCACAGCTATCATGGCAAGAAGTAGGTTTGTCTTTCTCTTCCGTCTTGTGTTCCGTTCATTCTTCTTCCTCAGGTACGGAGATCGCTGCCCGGGAGGGGGTCGCTGGTTTACCATCCTGTATTTCAGTTTGTTACATATTCTAAGATGGGAAACAGTTACAATGATGATGGGCATGACATATATTACCACCATACTTGCAACAGAGTATGCTCGTTTCTCCAGCTTCATATCGGTGTCCTCAATGCACCTGTACAGGAATATTGGGTAGTCAGGCACTGGCTGTTCTTCCTTCAGAACAGAGAAGAGTAGGAAGGGGCTTGCCATGAGGAAGGAGATTAGCCAGATACTTATTAGTGCCACAGCAGCACCTACCTTCCGCATGCTGTCCTTCGTAGGATAGACTATCACCTGGAACCGATCCAAAGCTATGGCCGTTATGCTGATTGTGGACACGAACACATTCGTTCCTTGAAACATGGTTACAAACTTGCACATAAAGCTTCCAAGTCTCCACTGTAGGTACACCAGTTTCACCAAGTTTAAGGGTTGTGTAAACATGCATAATGTAAAGTCAGATATAGCCAGATTTATGATGAAAATGTTTCTCGGTGTCCTCATGTGAGTGTTCCTCGCCACAACATAACACACAAGCCCGTTTCCAATTCCACCGAAAGTAATAAGAAGGGCAAAAGCTATTTCTAACACAACTTCCACTGCTGGATGAAAGTATTTCGCATCACGTGTCTGCCGTAGAATGTCCAGCATTTCTGTCTTAGACAAAGACCCGATCCCGTTAGAATTAGACAAAGACCAGGACGTGTTTTGCCCAAGCCAAAAGTCAGTTCTGTTTTCTCCACCATAGCTCACCACGGTTGCATCCATTGCGAAGATAAGTTTCTAAGAAGTAATTAAGTCACCCTTCATTGAAAAACCGTATGCGATATGAACGCCACACTTGAGGCACAGAAGCAGGCGGAAGCAACCTGCCTACGTTGTCACAGTTCGATTGCAGGATCAATTCTGTATGTTGAAGTGTATGGTCGCTGAGCCTAATGCTGGATAATCATTAACCGCCAGTCGGTCGCTGACTAGTCGATAGCTGCAATCCAAGAGCGGTGAGCAGGCTGTATTTGATTGGTGCATCGGTGGGTGATGTCCGCTTGTCTGATAGGTCTGAAAAATATAAACACAAGCGTTAACAGCAATACTCCATGAATCGAATCTAACGTGTTATGCTGCCCCGTTTTAACATAAGTGATACTTGCGTATATACTGAGGGAGCAGAACAGCATCCCACATTAATGTTACTTTTCAAATGTGTGCGTGTTCATAATATCAGTGTTAATTGTGGTACGATTGTCAGCAACATAACACCTGTATATCACTGCTGGAACGATTAGTTTAATTTACTATACATGGATATTTGCGTTACTTTGCATTTTACACAGCCTACCCTTAACATAGTTATATCTGCGGAGACCTCAGTCGCATCTACAGATGTCTTGTATATTGAGGATCACTTGTCCATACTCCATACAGACTGGATGCAGAAAATCTGCAGAGTGCGGTTTTGAAGAACAAACAAACAGACAAAACATCCAAATTGTTGTAGCCGACCCATGAGTTTCCTGAATATTCCCGAGGAGCGGTAGTGTGGCCTAGTGGTTAAAGCGTTCGCTCGCTGAAGACCCGAGTTCGATTCCCCACATGGGTACAATATGTTACGCCCATATCTGGAGCCGTGATATTGCTGGAATATTGCGTAAAACCAAACTCACCCACTCACTCCTGAATATTTTGACATATCGATGGTGTTTAAATGTGTAGTTAAACGGTAAAACCATAATTCTTAATGAATTCTCTAGTGGCATACATTATAGAGAAGTAACATTAAAACCATTTTGCATGTGCAATATTGGTGGCCATACGCACATGTGCATATGTTTGCAAATTCGCGCTTGAGCATAGTATCAGAGTAGTTACTGAGACACCGTTTCAGCTTTGTCACAGAATGTCAGTTTATTTAAGGTAGGTGAAGCACCTATATTAAGCGTTTCTGGACTTTTGCCACTTTGAAGAAGCAACCATTTTAAACATACATGTTTGATGCTATTGAAACCGTAATTAACCTCGTATTCCAACCTTCGACCAGCGAAAAATTGAATGTCTAATAGTTTAGCAGCTATTACCTGCCTCTCAGACACCGGGCGCTGCCCGCTACATTATTCGCCATGCTACCCTCCGATTATCTGTTTGTTTGGTTGGTTTGTTGCAATATTCCAGCTATATGGTGGTCTCAGATTATCACGATACAAGTGAGTGAGTTCAGTTTTTACGCTGCACTCAGCAATATTCCAACTATATTGCGGCGGTCTGTAAATAATCGAGCCTGGACCAGACAATCTGCAATATTCCAGCTATATAGTGGTCTCAGATTATCACCATACAAGTCAGTGAGTTCAGTTTTACGCTGCACTCAGCAATATTCCAACTATATTGCGGCGGTCTGTAAATAATCGAGCCTGGACCAGACAATCCAGTGATCAACAGCTTTAGCATCGATCTACGCAATTGGAATACGATGACATGTGTCAACCCTGTCAGCGAGCCTGACCGCCCGATCTCGTTAGTCGCCTCTTACGACAAGCATGGGTTACTGGAGATCAATTCTAACCCGGACCTTCACGGGTCACATAGTAAGGCACATTAACCTGCGCATAGCTGTAAAACGTTTTGATGGACGCACTGGTCACCAACATGATTTACCCTCAACACTCAGAATCAGGTGTACTTGTATGTCATAAACATTCCTATCACCAACTAATCGAATGTTTGCTTGATGCTTTTAAGTGATCAGCTAGCATATAGCTAATAGTGTCACGGAATCCAAACATAAACACGCGGACATTCACTGTTCATCCTTCACGAAACAATAAAAAATCACATCACCCATTCTGATTTCTCTTTCTAGTATTCGAACGCGCAAATGAAAGCAGTTTCTGTCACTGTGCTAACTGTTGCACATTAATCAGACTCTCGGTGGTGGCGGACGGTTTGTGCAGGATGGATGGCGACCCACTGGGACTGTTAATACCGACATGATGAATTATGTGTTCTCTTGTCTCTTTTATACAACCTGCTGCTGTTGTTGTCTTTCTCGTGGCACCAAGTAGACAGTATCCATCAGCAAGCACGTCAATTCCTTTAGGTATTCATTCCAACACTGTCAATGGTTGTAGGCTTATTCATACAAATGAACAGATACACCACTGTGAATGGAATGTACCTAGTTGAGTAAGCTGTGATAACTCATCATACACATTTCGCCAAACCGCCTTCTTAATTTCTGTCGGAATCCTTAATGAGATATGGTTTCAGATATGACTTGTTCTCAAGCTGTTATTACAGACATAAATGCACGTCGAGTTGTTAGTCTGCCAGTTCGTCGATCGAGTTCATTCTAAAATATTCATTCTTTTTCTTTGCCACTGACAAAGAGATACTTATTAACAAACAACGTTAACTGGGTATCTCAAGGCAGTACCTGAAGATTTCAATGTTGGAATTCAATGGTGTTCGCCTTCTTTGTACGCTTGGTCATTACAGAAGTTTAACAACCTATCTGGTCTGCATGCAAACCTGTCTTGCCAACAAACACGTTTATATATCAGCAAAGCACAGTTTAGACAGCACATAATCGGCGTTCGATGCTTGACTAAACTATTTGGTATTATATGTCTATTCAAATGGTCCCTAGATTGGAAAAAGGGTGATGTTGGTTTGAAGGAGGACACTGGAAGTCAATCCACATCTGAATTATGCATTGGATGTGTCAAACTTTGCAACAGTGTTGAGACGTGGAAGTAATTACAGTGCTGATGCGGTAACCGTTCCAAGACGTGGATAGCATACGGAAGGGTTGATCATTGGTCAATCTACCCGATTCACTAACGTTTCTGTTGCAATCGGAAGCATTTTAGGGTCATTTCTTTCTATACTTTGTTTTTGGCAGATAATAAGTTGAAATTCTAAGAGCATTAACTTGAAACATTTCAACCAATGACTCTAGTGAAATTAGTATCTTAAACCTTCACGTTATTACAGTAGATATGCTGAGACCAATTCCAAATTAACGCATCAATCATGCATTTATATGTTACGTGCCATATATCCCCGCGTGGTTGTTGTGTTTTCAAGTGAACAATTGATTGGCCATCAGGTTTATGAATAGGAAATTAATATGAACAATGGTTCTGCTTGGATTTAGTTACAGACGGATGTCACGTCTTTATTGGAGACTAGTTGGTCTAGTGATTCAATTTTAAGTCTGTTAATATGTGGTGGTTCTTATCCTTATAAGGAGCGGTGGGGTAGCTTAGTGGTTAAACCTTTGACTGTCACGCCGAAGACCTGAGTTCGATTCTTCACATGAGTCTATGGATTGTGCAAAGCCCATTTCTGGTGATGTTCCAGTAATATTGGGGGCGGTGGGGTAGCTTAGTGGTTAAAGCGTTCACTTGTCACGCCGAAGGCCCGGGTTCGATTCCCCACATGGGTACAATTTGTGAAGCCAATTTCTGGTGTCCCCTGCCGTGATATTGCTGGAATATGGCTAAAAACGGTGTAAAACCATACTCAGTCAGTCAGTCAGTCCAGTAATATTGCTGTAGGTCGCGTGTTATCTTACTCACTCGTTCACAATTATCTTTACATGGCAACATTGCTACATTTTGAGCATTCTCTTATAATATATGAAAACAGTTCACAGATACACATGTTCCGTGTCTATTGGGAGTTACACATGCCTGTTACATCAGACTTATCGATAATTGAATCGCATGCGTACGTCAACATGAGTGTTGTATATTAACTACCCGTGACGTTTTTTAAGGCACTATGCTATATCAGCATGCATCGCCAATCTGGACATCGCAGCGAATAGCAGCAATATTGCTGATGTGGCTAAAGGCAATATATATTCATTTATTCAATCCAGAGAATTTCTCACTAACCATGAAGAACTTTACTGGTGTGAATGATGAAGATCCAGAGATGAGTTATGGTGATTTCAACCTTTAACCCACCCAGTTCAGAAAAGTCATCCAGGGATTTACACAAATGCTCATAAATAATCATCTTGTCCGATGGACAAAATATTGAACATGATGGTCTTCAGCTCCGATTGAAAACATCCCCAAAGATGACAGACATTTTCACATTCAATCTGTTTTTTTCTTGTTTGACGCCGCACTCAGAACGCCCAGCTATATGGCGGCTCTCTGAAAATCGAGTCTGGACCAGACAATCCAGTGATCAACAGCTTAGCATCGATCTACGCAAATGGGATACGATGACACGTGTCAGACGAGTCAGCGAGCCTGACCGCCCGATCCCGTTAGTCGCCTCTTACTATAAGCATGGGTTCCTGAAGACCAATTCTAACCCGGATGTTCACGTGTGCCAAAGATGACACACACTTGTCATGTGTTTTACTTGGAACTGTGTACGACTAAGCGTAATATGAATCACTTGGTGATTGTAACTTGTTTCAAACTGTTCCTTCCCTTAGAGGATAAAATTATAAATAACTATGTGTATGTGTGCGTCTGTGTGAAGGAAACCTAATTTACTACAGTCATGGCTTGCGGGGCGTTGTTGGAGGTCGTGAACTCCTTTTGTAATTGCAACGAAACCTTCTTCATGTGCTCAATTATAAGCATCTGTCAGCACTGAAGACGGCCGGTGGCACAGCAGTTCAGAAAAGATACAATAATCATGCATGTGTAATGCCGTGATAATGTGTTTTTCCTGAGTCGCATACCCTTATTAGCATACAGTCCAGATTTCTCAGCATATCAACATTCTTGATAAAGCACAGTACCCAGTGGAATATTTCCGAAGGCTCTATTGGAGGTCGACATTCCACACACCCAAAATGCATAAAACATGACTATAAAGTATAAAGTTACATTCGGAAATCCGGAGCGGATGTTTGGTGTAACGAAGATTGGATATTGCTCTCATCTCTCTATATTACTTGAATTGTCAAAACTTTTATATTCAATTATTGTTGGGATGCCGTTAAATGATTTATATCCAACTGCCATATGAGTACTTTGCGTTCAGATTTATCTCTGTTATTGTTAAATTCTCAGCACCCTAACG